TTTTGCAGTTGCACCAGGATTTTCTCACCGGAAAAATAGACCTAGGTACGCAAGACAGGAGACAAATGAGGAGACAAACGCAGATACGGCAGGGCGAGGATACAAAAGTAGGCGACAGCGCTGAGGCAGCATCATAGCTGTCTTGTTCCATTGAAAATGAGTTAGGGCGCACAAGAGGAGGCGATACAAGGAAAGAAGAAGGCACACAAAAGAGGGACATGACGGGACACAAAGAGGCCGTGGGGAAGAAGCAACGTCATCGCCATCTTGGGGAGACACGTGGAAGCGACTAGAGAAACGACGAGAAAGGATTTCTAAAGACAAACCAGAAAGGGGACAGACCCAAAAAAAAAACGGAAAGAACATAATTCAAAGCCGTCTCGAAGAGCACGAGGCACATCAGTAGCATGCGTTTTCAAACAATGTTAACACCCAAAAACTTCGCTTTTCCGGGACAAATGGGAAACTGAGGGAGAGACAGGAGGTACAAAAGGCTGAAGCTGTGTAGTCACCTTCAGCTTCCCTGGCAACCCAACAAACAAACAATCTGGAGAAATAGAACAACAGGCAGGAGTTATGGGCAAACAAACATCTGGACAAGCATCAAGCATGACAAAAGGAATGACAAGAATTAGACAGGGCAAAAGATCCTGCTTAGAAACCCAAAGGAACACATGAGGGAGACAAGTCGATGAACGATTTGCGAGACAGACACCGTTTTGTCTCATTGCGGACTGGAAATCAAAAAGGACAAAGAGAAGTGTCATCACGCTTCATGTTGTGTCACGTGTGCGTTTTGGGAGTTTTTCGTCCCGCATTGGCACTGCACATTGGTCCAGGTCTCAGCAGCACCCGTGTGGAATGGCATGTGTGCCATTTTGCATCCCTTGCAAAAAACAGGTCAAAAATCTCTGCATTGCATGTCTTGTTGTTGCTAGGTGCTGAACGGACGCGGACCAGCCCTTGAAACCGGAAAGGGCGGCCGAGCCAAGTCCTCTTCACATAAAGTTTAATCCACAAGGCTTTGCTGTTTGGGAAGAAAGACCCCTCGCGGATCGATCAGCTTTTGTAGCCTTCTTCTCAAGTAGGAAGGCCAAATCATTGTCCAACATCCCAGCTGCTGCCCTAGATGATCGCCAAATGCCCGTGCTGGCAAGGCACACATGGTGGTTGTGGCCTTGGACGAGGTGTCCAGCGCGGAAGCATATGCGTTGCGCCTCGTCTTCTGCAAGCCAAACTTGCCGGGCTGCTAGATTCTGATGATTGTTCACACCTGATTTCCATGTCTGTTTCAGTGCTTCGTGCGTACACAGTCATTGTTACTCTCCGCAGCAAAGATGTTGATGCATGCTATCGTACAGCACTTTAGAACCACAACGCTGGCGCGTTGATTTTCTTGATTAGTGTCTTGAGACTTGCAAGTCTTGCAGAGGTGGCACAGCATTTTTGGACAAGCGACCCGTTCAATTGGCTCAAAAAAAGGCCATTGAGAAGAAAGTTGAAACATGTTGGAAATCGCTAAACTGGAAACGGTTGCGGCAAGGTGCAGTTACGCGCGGGCATTGATTATGCGCAATCTTGTTCAGTCCAGCTCCTGTTTTAGCGACTGTCAGAGATGCTAATTTCTTTGGAATCAAGTGGCGCCGGTTCTCTGCCGGCCCGGGGCTTCAGAGACGGAAGCAAGTTCGTTCAACAGCACCCAACCATGTTGTTGAGTCTGTCAGCTTTCCAGAGATGCCCCGTCTTGGTTCATGCGCAGTCTAGTTCCTAGGTTGCTTCCAGGCCTCGTGTTTCCAACGAAGCTTTGCAAGAAGATCATTCTTTCTGCCGCGCAATGCAGGGCTGATGGTCTGGGCTTAGGTGGCCATGCGGGGCACTGGCATTCAAGGTGTACCCCGCCAAAAACATGGTCCATGCCACGCTGGAAAGCGCAGCACATTTTTTTTTTTTGGACCTCTTTACGCTTCAGTAGCACAGTAGGTCGGTCTTGTTGGGCTCGACGCAACGGGTGAAACGAAGTGAGCGCGCGTAAACCACCAAGAACACCAGCTGGAAAGCGCAGCAACAGGTCGCCAAGATGGCGTTCGAGAAGAAGCTGACAACATGCGCACGGCCCTTAGCAACGCAACCTACTTGGTCTCTCTTGGACATCTGCTGATACAGAACCACAACCACATCTTGAAGTAACGCTGTTCCTTGGTACTGTCCAGACTTTCCAAAGAGATGTTCCGCCAACCAAACCAAAACCTCTGTGGTGCCCAGCTTGCGGCCACAAAAACGATAATGAGACGCACCTGATCTAAAGCTTGAAACCTCCTCTGCTGTCTTCCAAGTTGTGGCCCGCTCAAACCCTCTTATGTGCGCGGACTCTCCTACCTTGGATGATTGAAATGCTTTGGATTTCCGCTGCATTAGAGTGAGCGCAGACGTTAAGAGGCAAAAACCCCAACCCAACACGCCAGCTCGAAGCTCAAACGTCCGTTAAAATGCCTCTTAAGGTATCGCACAAAGAAGAATCTTATGTCAGCCTTTTGGTCCAGTCGAGCACGCAGTTTTGAGCGCTAATATCGCTAGTTGGCACTTCGGAAACTTTTAAATGCCCTTATATCCCACGTGCTGGGTTGTCCT